GAAATGAGTGAACTGTTTAAAGATGTAATATTTAAGTATCTTGACCTGGCAGAAATGAGTGAACTGTTTAAAGATTTAATATTTAAGTATCTTGACCTGGCAGAAATGAGTGAACTGTTAGAGAGAAAAAGAGAAGCTTCCCTTAATCTTGGAGACGTTAACAAAGATGATAAACTATCCTTTCAGGTAAACCATTCTCTAAATTAGTAAATGGACGAGATATCCATGTAATATCTTCTTTTGACTTGCCCGACACAACATTTTCCTAACATTGACATCAGGGAATAGGAATAATAGGAATTAACATTCGCCCGATCCTGCAACATCCAGCAGCAATAGGGTTTCCATGCGCAATAACGTTTAATTCAATTTCAGGAAAATTTGATTAATGATTAAATTTGCCTTTAATACAAATAAATTGTTTTTTAAATATAATTATCAAAAAGCTAGTCTTTGAAAAATGCAAAGCACATGCGGGTTTTAAGCTAACAAAACAATGATGTCCTTTAACATTAATAATCAAATTAAGATTTAAAGAGAAAAGTTTCATGAATAGTGTATAACTCTCTTTAATTGTAAGGTCACTAGTAATTTCAACGACTGCCCTATGTAAAGTCATTATGAAGCACATATTTTGAGGAAAATGTATAGTTTGAAATACATGTTAAAAAACCAAGAACAACGTGTTGGAGTATGATCACTGAAAGGCGATGATTTCACCTTAAATTTGTTTATTATGGTACTTAATTAGTCTTTACCAACAAATATGAAGAAATTTGAATACCCTTAGAACAAATATTTATTACTTGTACTATTAATCGTTGAAAAGCCCTTTGTCTAGATTGAAAAGGCTCTTATTTATCTATGAATTAATTTTTATAAATAATAAGAAAAAGAGTGGTCAATTAAATATAAAACCTTCTTTTATTTTTTTTGGCATATTTGAACAACAACATTTTTAAGGTTGACTTCCTTGAAATTTGTTGGCCTTTGATTATAATGGAATCCTGCTAACGAGTCAAAATTAAAGGGACTCAACACGTAATATCAATTGAACTTCGGTTTATAATGTGGTGAATTCTGATTCATAGAGCGGTTTTCTTTAAAATCTTTAATCTTTTATTTAAATTAGTAATTCTTATCTTACAAAGTTGGTTAAATCGGTTAGTTGGTTGGTTGGTTGGTTGTTAGGTTGGTTGGTTGGTTGGTTGGTTGGTTGGTTGGTTGGTTTGTTGGTTGGTTGGTTGGTTGGTTGGTTGGTTGGTTGGTTGGTTGGTTGGTTGGTTGGTTGGTTGGTTGGTTGGTTGGTTGGTTGATTAGAATCCACCTTCACAATGGTAAAGAGTAGTTATTGTCTGATTGATTAGAATCGTTATGTAAGAGAATCAATAATAAAATATAGAAGGTAAAGAATGTAAGATGGTAAATAAGAGACTTGAAT